GGCAAACACAGCCCCATTATTTGCTCACGTGAGGTGATCTGCAAATCGGGCGTTACTTTTGTTGGCTACTGTACGTACGTACGTATTCGGTTTCATGAGACAGATGACAATGTATACTTTTTAATACGTATTAGATTGGTAATGGGTGCTTTCATGGATTACCAGATATGGATTCATTGATTTTTTTAATCAAATTCAAAGTTTTATTTGTGTATATACATTCATTATATTAATTATATTACTAGCGAATATGAATCATTCATGTATATATTTTTTCTTTTTGACATATTGTCTATTATTCTAAACTACAAATAATTTCCAACTAAATCATTCACTAGTTAATAGTGTTTCAGGGATGGATAAAATGTTTTTTTGGATCATAAACTTAATCGTATTCACTCTCTCTGAATAGTGAATTAATTGATTACTTGGTGATGTTTGTTCTTCAAGCATATTATAATCATCCGAATATAAACATAATTGCCAGTTTTCTAATACAAATTTCCATATCGATTCAAATAATAAATATCCCACATCTTTTGGTTGAAGGTGTAGTAATAGACGGCTTACATTATTTAGAGGCGGGGGAATATATTGTGCCTAATCAACAAAGCAATAATAAAATACTCAATAAATACATTTGTAAACAAGAAAGACACACAACTTAATTAGTTCACCTTGTGCATAATTTCGACGAGTCGTATTGCAGTATCTAATTCTATTTGATTTTTTCTTTGGGTTTGTTCCCTTACGCGATACCAAAAAGTAATGTTCATCGCAAAAAGAGATCGAACGAGAGAGTTGAAAAGTTCACCAAACATTAAATAATCTTGAAATAATTAAAATAATAAAATTTCATTAAATACACATCAGATAACTCTAACAACATATTTAGAGACAACAACGACTTACCATTTGACAAAAAATTAAGCAATATCCACAACTCTGGATGTTCAGAAAATGTTGATTGCAAAAATGTATCTCTGCGGTACGTTATAGATTTTGGTAAAATTATATGCCCTGTTATATTTGTCGGGGGTTCCCTAGTCGTCAGATGCCGTAAAAGAAGGCGTATCAACGATGAAGTTTTACTGGATTCAAATGATAACAGATCTAGTAGTTTATGATATATATTAATATATATATATTAATATTTACAATTATACAATCGAATCTACACGTCTAGTAGTGTTAATTACCTGGACGCATGCAGCAAATCCTAAGCAATATTCCATTATTCCATGCATTAGATATGGAACAGTCAAGTTCCGGAGAATTGCTAGCAAATTAAGGAAATTTAAACCATTGGAACTTGGAAGATAAAAAAATAAAATAAAATAAAAAATAAAATAAAACTGGTATTACCTCGTGTTGGAATTATTTATAAACATGAAAAAATTTTTTTGCCATGAGTTTGAACTGGCTGACGTTATTGTTGAAGGTTTTTTCGCAGACCAAGGTTTAGGTTTCAATTTCTTCCATGTCGTTGTTATTGAAGATTTATTATTAGAATTTGATGAACCAAATTTAAATCTCGGTATTTTGTGTCGAATATATGATTCAGAGTTTGATGTGACTTCCGGTTCTGTTTGCATTTTACATGGCCAATTTCGTATAGATTCATTATTGACTAAGAGTTTTTTAAGTATAAGATCTGATATGTACAGAAAGGCTTCGCGATATTGTGAGAATGTCAAAACTAGATAATAAATGTAAATTTCAAATTAATTAAATTTTTAAGTCGATTTAAATATATATATATATTTATATTTAAATATATTTTAAAATTACATACCAATCATTTCTAAAATAGCTATCGTTTTAACCCATTGAAACTTTCTTCCATTGATGTTCGTTAATCGAGATTGCTGTGAAATGACATCAAACCATACATCAATCAATTCATTACAACATGCAAGAATATATCGAGCAGACGATTTCCTTAACATGTTGGATGTTGTGTATAATAATAATAACAATAACCATCCTGAATTTGTTGTTTCTAGCCGGTCATTGTGAGAATTTAGCATACGCTGGAAATTGCGTAGTAACTTTCGGTATGACCTTCCTAAGGCATCCAATATACATTTACATGTTTTACCCGTTACTAATAAACCGCTAGTCAACTCGGTCAAATTGACATTAGAGGTTTCCGTATGTGTTATAATAAAATAAACTAATGTTTTGTACACTCTAGTGTATCGTGTGTTAATAGCTAGTGATGACAGATCAAGGTTTTTGTATATCAAAGTTTTTTCCACAATTGTGTCGACGGCAGAACTAAATTAAATTAAAATATTGAAATGGATTGGATTAAAACATTAAAATAATCAAATACATAATTTTAACCATTTATTTTCATATATCTTACCTAATAGCGTCTTTCCATTTAAGCTCCAATGTGGTAATCAATTCTCTAGAAATATTAATTCTACTCACAATTTTTTCATCATCTAATGGTATCGATGAATAGTCAATCATGGGTAAAAGCTCTACGATAGTTTTTATAGCATTTTGCTTTGTGGTCAATCCGATGCACTTAAGCATCACTAGCCAAAAATGTTCATATTCGGTACCCCAACGATACGAAAGCATGGTTAATACATGATTAAGATCGAAAAAGTTATGGGGAACAACAACTGAATGTTCCGATTGTTCAATCCAATTTGACAGCTGCGTAGCTGAAGATTGCGATAAAAAATGATTTTCTATGAACGCATTCAAATACGATTCCTTTTTAGACTTGAAATGAAAATCCATGACACACTCATCAATCTGATAGTAATAAAAAAAATTTTTTTTTAAAATAAATAAATAAACATTGATTTGCCATAAAATGAAAATACAAATATTATAATTATATACACACCGCATTTGTCATCTGTTGAATAATGTAAGTACATCTTGTACTAATAACATGATTCAAATAAGTCAATTCGGTATGATCTATATTATCGTCATTAACAACGTATTGTTCATTAGCTAAACTTTCCAGTAACAAGCATATAGGAAGCACATGAGGTACAACATTTGGCGTATCATTTGTTAACCAAGCCAATAGCCAGCCAGAAAATGCATCCCAAAGAGGTATTGTTTCACTATAAAAATTGAATAATAATGAATTATTAAAAATTTAAACTTTAAGATGAAGAAAGATTATGAATAGACATACTTTGTTGACGACACGCATAAAGAAAATCGTGTGAAGCATTCAAAATAGCATATCATCTGTATGTTTTTTACGGAGAGTCTGTCCCATATTTGTTTTTCATGATCTAATTAAATACATGATAACGATCAGAGCGAATGAATAATCGAGTGATACAAGCAGTTAATTGAATGCAAACAGTTAATTAAATGCAACAGTCAATTGAATGTAAATAGTCAATTGAATGCAACAGTCAATTGAATGTAAATAGTCAATTGAATGCAACAGTCAATTGAATACAAACAGTCAATTGAATGCAAACAGTCAATTGGATTCAATCAGTCAACTGAATGCAAACAGTCAATTGAATGCAAAACAGTCAATTGAATGCAAACAGTCAATTGAATTCAATCAGTCAATTGAATACAAACAGTCAATTGAATGCAAACAGTCAATTGAATTCAATCAGAAAATTGAACTTACCCTTTGTAAGTTCAGGATATTGGATCATAAGACTAAGTAAATGAGATATAATTATTCGTTCACCCACTAATAAAAATATAAATAGTAGAAAATTCATAATTAAAATTGATAATTTTTTTTTAACGGGTTAATCTGTACAACTTAAAATTATTACCATATTTTTCTAATGAGGTGTTATCCTGAATATAATTATTTGCAAGGTCCAAGTAGTAGTCCAACAATCCTACTAGACTTTGTTGAAACGCCACGAGGTCGACATCCATTAAGAATTCAAATATTGTAAACGGAACACTAAGGATATACAATTTGAGAAAGAAATTATTTAATGAGTTATAACTGTGTGAATGAATTACAAGATCTCATTTAACTTTCAGAATGTTTAAAAAACTTACCGTGCACTTAATTGATTCAACATCCAAATATTAAATTCGAAAAACACCTGCCATCGTAAGTCTGCAGGCACGTGATCGGCAGTCCATTTAATCATCCATAGCGCTTTAATTTTAGCTAAATTCTAGAAGCAAAAATTAATTACTTAAATGGTGAATGAATAAATAAGCTAGAATAAGCTAGATAAAATTGGAAGCTTATTATTACCTCAAAAAGTGCAAAACAGCGAGCTTTATTCGTTTGTAACTTCTTCGCGTGAGATCTAAAATTATTTGCGTCAAAAAAAATTATAAAAATTTACTAGGTAAACATATTTTTAAAATCAGGAGCTTACCCATTTGAAAGTTTCGAATCGTTAGGTAACAACAGGCTATCAAACGCGAGTTCTGCTAACCGTCTAAGAATTGGAGATTCCGCATAATAATTACTGAGTATTTGTAGATTTTCGTTCGCATATAGATCGTATTCGTTTTTAAGCCTTTGTGTTGCTGAAGCAAAAAAATAAAATTGATAAATAAACTCGTCCTTAATAGACAAATATATTACTTTGTTTCCACAACATCACGTGACTAACCAATATTGGCAGCAAAAAAAACTGACCACATAGATAGTCCAAATCAATGCCTTAAGAAAAGGTTTAATTCTGGCCATGTGACTATACAACCAAAATAGAGATACTGTAAAGATGCAAACCGTTTCATAGCTGATACGGTCGCATCAATAAAAATCAGATAAATAATTACCATAAGGAAGATTTGAAATATGGTGCTCAATTAAATGTAAAATCCACTATAAAAAAACGTAAAATTTGATTATATATGAAAAAAAAAAAGAAATTAATGGGTCAAAAGTGTGAATGCATTAGTGGTAAAATTGAAAATGAGCATTGGAAAGCAAAGAATAGGAAAAAGATCAAGAACTCACATCGAATAGGTTTTGACTATGAAAATAGTCTTGTTCACGTGCTCTGAGGCGCAGTACATCTAACTCACGAACACAACCGTCGTATTTTTTTCTCGCTTGTATAACGTCACCATTACGGCCATTAAAATTTTGTGAAGATCGCAATATCACCGGGTCGCCAGCATAACTGGAGGCGATTGTGTTTGCTAAGTTTTCGAGATCTTGAGAAAGATCCGATGCAAATGAGCCATTAATTTGAACGTACCCCTCCATAATATCGGTGGGATTAGGTAAAAAGTTCAAACGGTAACAAAAACTTAAAATCAACGTAAATCAACATTATTTATAATAATTTGATAATGATCACGTGCACTTGTACATGCCTCTATAAACATGAACATTATGTAATACAACCAATCATAACGATAATAAGTAACACCACACACAGTACACAAAATTAATCCATATTTAAAATATGATTCGTTGCAATTTTACACAGCAGGTGATCGATTTTCAAATTAAGCTTTGACCAGAATTATTCGTATAATAGAGATTCCTTGGTCGTACATTTCATCATCGATTGTATTCAGATAAGGCTTAGCACCGTAATATATATGCCAGTGATCTTTAACGCTCATTGAGCAAACACATATTAATACCTTTTAGCAATCAATCACTTGAGCTGTTTTAGGTTCATTTATCCGTTATGATAAAAGCTTGCGAGTACGTACATACGTACGCACTCCAGATTCTTTAAGATTATTGTGATATCGAGGTAGGCAAGTACGTGTATTTGAGAGCTTCGTACTGATACGGATACCGCATGTACTGTACGTATGTACACGTACGTACTTATAATATATGATTAAGCGCGACTACTTGACGACGTAGGAATTCGCTGATTCAATAGGCCTGAATTACCAACATGTGAACCTAAACATGATCTACTTAATCAATTATATATCATATATGGCACTATTAGTATATTTAGTTAGATTCATACTTATCAGTTTTATGTACTTACATATGGGCCGAGTGCGACAAAAAAAAAAAAAAAAAAAAAAAAAAAATTTTAATGTTAATACGTAGAAATTTACTATTTTACTCATACGTAAGGTATAAAACCCGGTATCTGGTATAATATTTGAATACGTAGTTCTATATATATATTAAGGTTAGAAACAAGTGTGGTTGTATGTAAAATTAGGTGCTGAACATTTTTACATACACTAATTTTTATAGTAAAATTTCAAAATATTAACGATTTTTTATGTTTTTAATATACTGGTAAATCTACCCACCGGGTACAAATACGTAGAAATCCTCAATTTATACGTAATAAACTACGTAGGAAATCAGAATCGAAGCGAAAAATAAAAGTTTCGTATGTGTTACACTAACCGCAGATCCTAAAATCCTCGATTTTTATTGGTGTAATCGACGGACATTGCATAAACGTGCATTCAGTTTGCTCGGACAATCATAAGAAAATACAGACTTTAAAGAACTATACTGCAAGATTTTTATTAATACAACTGAGTTTATGTCTTGAGTAAAAAAATTGCCTGATCTTATTTATTTTAAATTGATTTATACAAAAAAAAAAAAGTTGGTTGAAAAATTTGTCAATTTCACCCTTTTTTGCAATACCCAGCCCATGTGTACTGTTCTTATAGACTCGCTTTGCTGTCAAATTTTCATATTTACCGTAAAAGTCGGACATGAGTACCCCCTATGGCGTGTCCCCTCTTCCAGTTTAAGATTTAGGTGGTGATTTATACCTGGATACCTGAGTATTATAAATACTATAAAGCATATTGTCTTAATATGGTGTACTCCCATACAGGTACAAATTTGAATTATGAAAATACACGGGGTACTCGTCCGATTTTTACGGTTAAGTTTCATTTATATATCGATATCCCATAGTATTCACTCCGAAAGATTTGCTCCGAACTACATATCTATATTTCTGTATTTTCGAGGGTGGCAGGCATCAATAAAATAGATCAATTTGGCTTTGAAAAACAGGTCAATTTTACTTTGAGAATCAGAACAAGAAGTTATCCCGCCAAATGTCCTTTTATCTATATACTTTGCTTTAAGTTGTTCTTTCTAAAATATGTAACGGTAACAGTATGTAATACTTGTGATACAAATGCAACGCAAACTATTCTAATCATATGATTTTTCTCTTTACCAAACATAGATTACCGATTTTTTTTTTGTACTATGTTTATTTTTGCAATAAATAAAACTGCAACTATAAATGGTATTATAAATAGACATGAAATACAGTCTAATTAAAACATAATTTACATGGCTAGCTCTTTCTTTTTTTCTCATTTCATTCTTTTACATAAATCATAATTTGTGTGATTAAAATAAGTAGCTAGCAATCAAAAATTTTGACAACCATGCCAACAAACTGGGAAGATTTGCTATGGCGTCCGTTGCATACCGTAAAAGCTACCATGGATTATCAAAGCGATCATCCTATGGATTTATGTTTTGAAGTTGGTGATATTATTGACGTCCTTGGTATCGGTATGTTGGATCTTCTATGTATAAAAAAAATATAAAGAATTTCATAAAATTTATCCTATTTTAACGTCTTTTATATTTTAAGAAAATGATAATTGGTGGAATGGCTGCATCGTAGAATGTCATGGCGCAAAATCAAAGAATTTTGGTTCATTTCCAAAAATCTTTGTCGAAATAATCGATGAATCTCCTCAAAAATCATCTAAACCTAAAAAAATTACAAATCCTTGGTTTAAAGATGAGCTTCAAAAGGCTTTAGGACAACAGAGTGAGAATGTTATCCCGAAATCGAAACCGATCGTTAATTCAAAATCTTTGGTTAAATCTCAACCATCTGCTGATAAACTACCACCGCCACTACCTTCACGTGAAAAACTTATGAGCCGTCAAAATTCTACATCTTCAGTTGAAACTGTCGTTCCAAGGAAGATATCTCCGACGAGACAAGATTCGTATCGTCTAGATAGTCCGGTACTTAAAAGGAAGAATTCATCTAATTCTATCGGTAGTGAAAAAAGCAGCAGCAAAGCTTCAACCGCCTTTTCACTCGACAGTGAAACACTTGTTGATGAGTCTGAAGAGGATCCTGATCCTATTAGGTATTGTCCATGTTTTACTTTCTCGTTTCTTTACATAGTTTAAATTATTTAAATTGATAAAAATTTTCAAATTTTTGTGAAAAAGTCGTTGCTTGCCTATAGTTGACAAGGATTTCGAAGAATATTTGGTAACGTCCGGTATGCATTTTGGGTTGATGATGGATTTAATGACCTGTATTTTTATTTCAATATTTCTTGTTTTCTTTTTATAGACTACGATTTTTCAACTGTTGATGAATATGCTCGTGAAACTCCTGAATCTGAAACAAAATCTGAAGCAAGATTAGCGAATTATTTGACTTCAGTATGGGACGATGACATATATAAATTACGTGCCATTTTCGTATGGATCACTGATAATATCTCATATGATTGTAAATCATTTTTTTTGGGTAACCTTTTATTCAATAATTTATTATTGTATTTTTATTATATCTTTAAAGTACTAAATTTTGTTTAAACCAATTTAGGAAGATTATCGGATAAGTCAGCAAAAGATGTTTTAAAAACCAAAACTGCTGTATGCGCTGGATACGCTAAATTGTTTTATGAATTAGCAAATGAAGCTGGTTTACATGTATGGCAAATTTCGGGAAATGCAAAGGGTAACTGTCCTTTATATAAAATATAAAATTTTCAATCTTACAATTGCAATATTAACTTATATAATTTTAGGTGCGGGTTTTCAAGTCGGTGATACTATTGATCCAAATGATCGTGCTTACGCTCATGCATGGAATGGTGTTTTATACAAAGGAGAATATCTCTTAATAGATTCTACTTGGGGTGCTGGAGATGTAAATAATAAACAATTCAATAAAAAATTCCAACCTTTTTACTTCCTTACTTCTCCGACAAAATTTATTTATTCCCATTTTCCTGAAAAATCAAGTCAACAATACTTGCAACCTACTATCACAAGAAAAGAATTTAATAATCAGCCTCATTATAAAGCCGATTTCTTCTATGAAGGTCTTAGATTTTTAAGATATCATGGTACCGAAGTAAATGCGATTGACGATAACATAACCTTAGATTTAGAGCAGTCAATTGACGATGGTAGAGTAAATAAAGTAACTGCCTCTTTGGAATGGAAAGGACAAAAAATAGATGCTTTTTCACAAAGATTGGCTATTCCGGGTCCTAATGGCGGAATTTTACATCGGTTAAGAATTGGTTGTCCTACTCGTGGAGAAGGAAAACTTCAATTATTTTACTTTAAAGAAGGCGAAGAACGGGTTTGTATCTATATGTTACCGTATATTTTCCATTTTATTCCTTATTCTTCGTGAATTAATCTTATTAAATTACTGATATATTAAATAACAGGACTCGGGCATCTGCAGTATACTAATAAAAAACTCTGGAACTGGCGCAAAATATAAACCATTCGTATATCAATACGGCTTCTTATATCCATGTACAATAGTTAAACCTATCTATCAAACACTCGGTTACGCAAAAAAAACTCATTTTGAAGTAATAGTATTCAATGTGGACTCTAATAAAAAAATTCCAAAATTTGTGTTACTTGGGCCTGGAATGGAAAAGCAAACTTTTCTTGAACCATTAATGGATAGGAATGATTCTGATAGATGTATTACCATGGCTTGTGATGTGATGACGAATTATAAAGGAACTTGGAATTTAGGTGTTAAAAATGGCAATGGGTACAATTTTTTGGCAAGTTATGATGTTAAATAACACAAGCCTTGTACATGAAAGTGAGAATATATTTTGGTGGATTTGGAGATTTTTTAAGGTTGCAAAAATGGCATCGTGAATGATATTTCTATTATTATATCCCTTTATATATACGTTTGTCTTATAATTCTGTAATTCTTATTAGGATAGTCTCGATATAGTCACTCTTGATATAGTCACGTACAAATTATAAGAAAAATTTCTTATTCTTGTTTTGCCAATTATTATTAACTTCCTATAGTCATTATCACTTTAATCACATTGAGTAGCCGGTGATTATATCGGGGTTAGACTATATATGATGCATTTTTTTATCATGGTTTGGTAATATACAAGGGTATACCACATTATAGTTAAATTAAAACTATATCTACAAATTCGCAAAACCATTAAATGTTGATTTTTTGATGATACACAAATTTTGGTTTATGAACGCCCATTCTATTATAATAAAGATAAATTAATATAATACTGTAATATAAAATTAGATGTACAGACTTATTAAACTATATATTATTTATGACTCGATCTTTTTTTATTTATTATAATAATATCATAGAACAAAATTATAGAAAAATTTTTATATTAAAAATCAAAATTTGCGCAAATGAAGATAAATGTAAATATATATTGTTATATAATTTTCTACGATAAAATGCAAAGTCGATCTACATTTTGTAAAAATTTATTAGTGACCGATCCGACACAATTCTGATTATGATACGTTATACCCTATATATATAGTACGTAATATACACTAGTTTTAATTTTGCTTAATAGTTTAGGATTTCGTATAATTAAAATTTTTTAATTACTGTAATATCTAAATTTTAATTTAAATATGTATAAAAAATTCTTTTCGCGATTTGTTTAAAAAATAAATATAACAAAAGTCATAAATAAAGGCGATTTGTTCTACATCCAATTCTAGACCTAGTGTTGTATGTGTAAGTTCGGTCTTAGTGTTGTAAGTGGGAATGGAATTTAAGTGGATTTGGATTTCCTAGTTAAATTAGGCCAAAAAACGAGGTTTTATATATAAATGCAGAATCCACTTAAATTCCGTTCCCACTTACAACATTAGCATTTGAAATATAATATCTTCAAGTGTTGTAATATTTAAACGATTCCTATTAAATTATAAAAAAAAATAATAATAATGTATAATTTACAAAGTTGTAAAAATATTAATTCACTTAAATGAGGGGTTTCAGAATTAACGTGCGGAAATCTAATTTTGATAACATATTTAAAAAGTCCCAGCGTTACCAACAATCGAGGGCGCAGTCACATGATCTTCCGACACGATCAGCCAATAATAAGTCACAA